GACGCTGCCGTTGGCCCTGGCGCCCTTGCCCTGATCAGTGGCGCTGCTTTCCCCGTGGCCAACTGGCTTCTTGAGAAGGTCGCTGGCCCAGGCAAGCAAGCTAAGCGTAGCATTGAGCTTGACGACGAGGACCTCCAGATCCTTCAGAGCCTGCAGGCTCGTGATGCTGCAGTCGGCCCTGGCGCTCTTGCCCTTATCAGCGGCGCTGCTTACCCAGTCGCCAACTGGCTGCTTGAGAAGATTGCTGGCCCAGGCAAGCAGGCTAAGCGCGACCTCACTGCTGCTGATATCGACGAGCTGAACACCCTCTTCGCACGCGACGCCGCTATCGGACCTGTTGGACTTGCTGTTGGCAGCGGTGCTTTCGGTGCCGGCGTCAACTGGCTCATGCAGAGAATCTCTCCATCCTCCGAGAAGCGCGACCTCACCGCCGCTGACATCGACGAGCTGAACTCCATCCTCGCCCGCGACCTGACCGATGCTGAGCTCAACACCATCTTCGCCCGTGACGCTGCCATTGGACCCGTCGGACTCGCTGTTGGCTCTGGTGCATTCGGTGTCGGTGTCAACTGGCTCCTCCAGAGACTCTCCCCATCCTCCAAGAAGCGCGACCTTTCTGCTGCCGACATTGAGGAGCTGAACTCCATCCTCGCCCGCGACCTGTCCGAGGACGAGCTCCCCATCTTCGCCCGTGACGCTGCCATCGGCCCTGTCGGACTTGCCGTTGGCTCTGGTGCTTTCGGTGCCGCCGTCAACTGGATCATGCAGCGCGTCTCTCCATCTTCCAAGCGCAGCATCGCCGAGTTCGCTCCTATGGTTCGCCGCGACAACTTGGTCTTCAAGCCTGTTCAGTTCGCTGCTTAAATGACCCGATGACGAATGATTATGGTGAGCAACATCGATTCCCCCAAGCCACATCACATTGAACCTTACTGACTCTTCTCTTCCAGATTTTTACCCGTAAAGCTGGTCTTATCGGTCTCAAGATGAAAAGTGATATGATGACACGACTAGGAAATGATTAAATGTCTGCGCTGATACCAAAAAGGGGGAGGTGACAGTCTCTGGTAGGCGTGTCGACCAGGTTTGCGGGCTCAAAGAAGTTTTTACACGAACTTTGATGAGGTTTTACTTATCTTCGGGGGAAAGGCGCTCAGAAGTCTCTGGTAGGCCTTTTGGGTGGTCTTTGTTAACAGTATTGGAGGGGCAAGATGGTGGAGTCTTTTTCTCGATGATTTGATGCAGCGTGTTTTGAGGGAGATTCATCTGAGGATCTGGAAGGATGAATTTTTCTCTTTGGTCAATATATGAGGACACGATGTAACGGTCATTAATACAATGGACTTTCACTGAATACTGCTTGTTCCAATATTCCTTGCGGCTGCGCTCTCTCCAAGTTTTAGTGAACTGTGAAGCTGCAAAAGCCCGCTATATCTGAGATGTGCGACATTGGTCTTACGGACGGCCGAAGTCCTTTGGAAAACACGCGCACTTAACAGGCGACAGAGCAAATTCGCACGATTATAAGCATCCTCTTGTCAATGCTATTGCTCCTGAGTCTTCCAACTGAAAACATTGCGAAGCCGCCGGCAACTTCTGAGATCTTAGAAAGGCCATTCCTCATGCCTGCATCAGATTGACAGTCCGTACCGTGATGTACAATTTCTGCGTCAAGCCAGCCTTCATGAGACGACCAAGCTCAGGCATTCAGACCAGCAGTGCTCGACTCACTATTCGCGAAGCTGTGGTTTCGTTCCAGTCAACACAATGCCCCAGACATGCTGCAGAATGTAGAGATGTGAGAAAAGGGAGCAACATCCGGATTTCTTGTGCAGACATGCAGCATTCGACGTACCATTCCGATGATCGAGTTTTCTATTTTTGCTTTCCAGTGGAGTGGCAGCTGGTTGGGCGAGAAATTCGTGTGCGATCCAGAGAAACGAATTGATCAAGTGAGTACACGATGTAATGGTCAACAGTACAATGAATGGGATTCACTGATACTTCTTGTTCGTACTCCCTTTCGGTTCTTGATGCTTTGTACTGGAGTGGACGTTGGAGTTTCAGAAGCAGCTTTGCGCTCTATCGATCGGATCGACTCTTGGAGGCTCCGACTGGATACTGTCTCCGACACGTTTACCCTTAGCGTCGCAAGATTGCTGCCTTCGATCTATCCTAACACCAAGAAGCCCGCACAGTGAGGTACTCAGCCGATGACGAGTTCGGATCGCCTTACGAAACACTCGTCGTCAGTCAGTAAGCAATACCTTCACGAACCGAAGCCCTCAATCACCTCATCACCTCAGAGACTCCGGCTCGTGCTCCGATCCTCAGTCACTGCAAGCCCGCGCATCAATCACATCCACTTCAAGCCTCGTGCATAATATACAACCACATCAGCCCGAGACGGCAAGCTCAGACGGCGCGCAACCTCCAAAGGAGAATCCAACCCCATCATAGCCCTCGATCTATCACGCCTTAGAGGAAGGTAGTTCATGTATCATCCTGGGTCAGCCCTATGAGTATCCACAGCCGCCTTCCAGGTGACCTCGCCATTCTCGCATAGGACGCGATGCGCAAGGGTTGATTGGAAAAGGTGTCAGGCCTGTGAAATTTTGCCGGTTTCCTCGCGAGAAGGAGCAACAGCTGAAAAAGGATTGCGCGTGCAAGTGTGTACATTATCGATTTTGTTTTCGTAGACGTCAAGAACCACTTCGCGTGCGGCTTGCCCCACCCCACACCATCTTGGGCTGAAGCTGGAGGGCATGAAGTACAGAATAGGAAGTCGTGCTTACCGACCGGAAGCAAACAGGCGAGAGCGTCTTCAGAATCTCGGCGGCACGAGCAGAGATCTCGGTTCAAGAATCGGCTTCGATGCACAGATGAGAGGAATACTCCGTAGCCGAAGTTGTTGTGGAACATGTTGCGAAAAGGACATGTCAAGTGTCCGGTTAGTCATGCCATGCTCAGCAGCAGCCGAGACGCTGCCTTGTCGCGCGCGTGCACTTGCGCTTGCGTAAGTGTCGTTGGCTTTCAACGGGGAGCACGTGGTACTGATGTTGGCGCCCGCCCGTGATAGCAGCCACATTTTACTGCTGCTGCTGCGACCCGAGACATCCGAGACAGTGTGCTTGCGCAAGATCTTTGTGCGACGGAAGATCACTTCGCTCTTGTACGGCGATGATGAATACTCTTGATCAAGGCCTTCGATAGCCGGTGTGCATACCTATTGTAAGCGTGTTTAGCCACTGTCGTCGTTCAAGTAGGAGGTAGCACAATTTGCAGGTCGACAACCTGGCCAAATGGCTGATGCACATCAAGCCGGGGATACTTTGCATGCTGCTGACATTGGCGAAGACCATCGCCTCGGTTGACCATGCATCGTGAGAAACCCCCACAGAATTAATTTGAGCCGCGCGGGCAACTTTTCTAGCGGCTGCGACTCGGCGTCGAAGTGCGTTTACGGCACGGCCACGGCCCCAGCTGACGGCTGGCTTTCTCGATTCTGGAGCCGTGATAGCTGTCGGTCTTCTCTTAGCGGCAGGCGCGCTTAGCAATGCCGCACGGCTGCTCCTAAGCGAGCTGCACAGAGCGATGAAAATGGAAATCAGCACAAGGTGATAGGATGGGGGTGGATCACCCACAGTGTGGCGCCAAAAGTTGGATATTTCGAAGCCTGGACCACCTGGCGAACAGGCACACGACAAGTCTTGGACATCACAGGTTGGTCTGCAGCCACGAAACGCGGGTGTTAGCGAGAGAGGTACCTGAGCTGAGCTGCGCTGCCAAAAGATCTGGAGGATGATCAGAGCTTTGGCGAAAGCACGAGAGCAAGGCATCTTGTGAGACGCTCGACTCTGTGCACGCTCAACGCGCAAGCGCAATGCGCATAACATGCATAGAGCGCACGCACGGCTGTTTCGTGCAAGCAGGCGAGGGGCAGGTGTCGTCGTGGCCACTCGCAGCTTCCGCTTCCACGTGCAAAGCGTGAGGGTGCGTGAGCGTGAGAAGTCTCGGAAGGACCATCAGCCCGCAAAACCTTGGTCTCACGTCCCGTCTTGTCAGCGAGGCCATCTTGCCGACTGGCATCGATGACAGCGATACTGCTCGAACGGGAAGATGCAGCGGCCGTTTGACTGTGTTTGAGATGACAGCGCGAGCGATAGATGTTGCAACGTCGGAGTGCTCTCCGTAGTCCGTAGTTTGTCTGTGCTTGTCAAAGCTGATTGCGCCATTCGCCGCATCTTGTGACTCTGGCCTTGTTCTGTAGTTCTCCGGCTCGACGATCACACTAGCGATCGCTGCAAAGCAATACACCAACCAGTAGTGCATTCCTCTCCTTCCCGCGCAAGTGTTTCTCGATATCGAACTGACAAATGCACTTCACGATGTCGAAATTGCATGACATTGCATGCAGATAGGCGATCGTTATCACCATCGTTGCGGGGACAAGGAGAGCCTTGTCACAGAGGCAACATCAGCTTGCTCGACAGGGCCTGGGCATGGATGAAGGGCATATACTTCGCGGCCGTGGCCGTGCAGAGTTGTGTGCATATCAGTGTGTATGCAGGTGTGTACAGATCGAGAGAGGCGCGGATCGCGAACCTGCGGGGAAAGCAGGCGTGCAGCGAATCCTTTGCGCTCGTGTAGGCCTACGCCAGGCCTCATCAGGAAGAAGCTTGACCTTTTTCGAGCCTGGCTGGGGACATTACGCCTCGAATGCGCTGCGCGGTAGCGAGACCATACAGGCTGCGCTCTGATATTGGAGACAGCATGGTGTACCTGGCCCAAGCTCGAATGGGCGAGGTGTCGTTTGCTTGCTGGTTGTGTGATGACATGGTGACGATAAGGTGGCCATAAGACGTGGCTATTGTTCGCGATCCACGGGGAGGGGAGGAGGGAGGGGGCTGGCAGCAGTGCAGGCACACCAGGAGGGAGTTGGAGGGAGAGGAGCAGTACAGTAGGCAGGCGTCCGATGGGGAGACGATGAGGACAACGAGCACGATCTGTGGGCGACGGCGGGCACAGTGGCCCAGCATGCGCAAAAGAGGTCGAAGATCGTTGAGCGGTTTGGCATGCATGCAGACTCCCAGCAGAAAAAGCGCCGGGGGCAAAACTTCTGGCATGGCGATCACACAACAGCGCCGCAATGCTGTCGACAAATAATGGCACCAGTGATGCAGAGTATGCTGCACTGCGCTGGGAAATGGAGCCTGCATCGCGCTGTGCTCATGACAACGACCAGCAGTGCGCATAGCAAGCAGCTGCATCTTCGCTTGGCCGTCCCATTGCCGTTGCCGTGGTGCGCTCTGTATGGGGCCCTCTTTGTGCCGACTGCCCAACAAAGCGCTGCAGATGACGATAGAAGAGCACGCCGTCGAGGGTGATTTGGGCAGCGAACCCAACGCTTCTGTCTCGTGCTGTCGCAGGGGTCCACGTGGATGCGGTCGTCTCTACTCGCCTGCGTGCGTCCGATGCATTCCCTAGAGCCAGCCGGCAAACAAGTGATGACTGCTGCGGATGAGTTGTTGAATCGACCGCTAAAATCGTGGCAGCCAAGCCCGCTGAGCGCGGGCTGATTGGTACAACCCTAGCCCCGCAGCGAAAGTATGTAGAGGAGCACCTGGCTCGTCGCCGCGCTGCGAGAACCCTCATAACTCCGCCGGCCTTACTACTCCCCTACCGCGCCTCGAGTCAGTGAATCTCTTATCAGCAACACCCACCCACCGCGACGCCGCCCGCAAACGTCGCCGTCCCACCGCAGAGGCGCGCCGTACGACACTGCCTGACGCACCAGCCCGTCACCGTGAAGCCCTGCGAAACCCCGGCACTCAACAAAACTCGCCCGCCAAGCACGGGCGTCTACGATGATAAGGCGACGGCGCCCATCAGCCATCTGAAGCAGGCCGTTCAATGTCTAGCAGAAGCAAGTGCGGGTAGACTGTTTGCTGGAGGGTCGATCTGCGCACAGCGACCCGGCTCCGCGAGCGCCTGCGTTGAGGATGTCCTCCGATTCCGCGCCCAAGAACAACGAAGAGGATGGCACGCTCGTGCTGGAAGCACATGGACAGAATGGCGGAAGCAGCGATATGGAGACTCCGCGCTCCGAGGCTCCTCCCCCCGCTGTCAACGTCACCACACCGCGAACGACGGAAGCGACGACGATGCACGCGACCAATGGAGTGGCCGTGAACGATTACTTCACCCCGCAGCCCACCGCCGCACCCGACCAGAGACCGCGAAGCCCACGAGCACCCAACAGCCCGCATGCCTCGACGGCTGTCAGCACTAGCTCCACCGACGCCACCGCTCCAGGCTACGTCCAAGGTCTCGGATCACTGTCGCTGCCGCAGCCCCAGCTATCTCCCCGCCCGACGCCTCAGCAAAAGGCGTCCAGTTTGAGCATCGAGAGCACCGACAGTGCGGCAACGGTCAAGCCAGCTCGTCCAGTCTTGAAGTCTCTGGGCCCCACGTATCCCGATCAGACCTTCGCCGCCCTACACAATCAATATCACGGGACCTATTACACCCCATCTCACCTGCGGGGAAGGGGTCCAGGACTGTACTCGCCCGTGGCCAACTTTGCAACGGCAATAGCATCGCATCACCAGAGCACGTCCCGGTCGGCGACCAACTCACCCCTCGTGACTCCCAACTTCGGCCTGTTCAGTAATGCTGGTCCGCCGTCGGCGCCCGCCTTCCATTCCGACTCCTCGTCGGCAACGTATCCGAGTCCGTTTCTGCATCATACGCAGAGGCATGTTCCGAAAGAAACGCATGTCGCAGACGTTGATGTGGACCCCATCTCGGGTCGCAAGCTCATCAATCATTACGAGATTATGGACGAGCTCGGCAGAGGGACACATGGCAAAGTCAAACTTGGTCGCGACCTGCATTCTAACGGAACCTACGTGGCAATCAAGATTGTGGAGCGCTTTTCCAAGAGACGAAAGCTGGGCCGCCTTGGTACTACCGAGGACAAGGTCAAGAAAGAGGTCGCCATCTTGAAAAAGGCCCGCCATCCCAACGTGGTAGCCTTGCTCGAAGTCATTGATGACCCAACCCGCAAGAAAGTGTACATTGTGCTCGAATGGGTCGAGAAGGGCGAGATCAATTGGAGGAAAAAGGCACCGAAAGAGATCGCAATGGTGGAGGCGCGACGGTATGAGAGAGAAAGCCGTGAAGCGAAGACCGGAAAGCACGATGAAGTCCTAGCAGCGCAGGACCGAGCCGTCCTGGAGGAGGCCAAGAAACGTCTCGATAAACAGAGGAGACGACAGCTGCGAACGTTCCGACGTATGCGGCGAGGAGCAGACGAGGCCCCGGAGGCTTGGAGCATTGAGCTGGCTGGCGATGAGATGAGCGAGGAGTCCGAAGAGGATCGATTATCGCGCATCTCGTCCATCACGGGCGAGATGAGCGCACCGCTCGCGCAACAAGCGTCACAACAGCCGAAACAGTGGCTAGACACTGGTGCAGGTAGGCGCATTTCATGCACTCCCTCGCCCTTGATGCCCACCCTCGACACCACCGTCGCACGTCCGACTCGGTTCTTGATACTGACACCGGAACCAGAAACCATGTCACCTGTGAGCGAAGCGCAGCCACCTTCACGTAATGTGGAGTTCGACTTGAGCGGCTTGGAGGGCACCATGTACGGGCCGTACGACCCAATCTCTGGTCCATCCTCTCGAGATGCCAGTCTGCCAAATAGTCTACGAGGCTCGCAACATGGCAGCGTAGAAGGATTGTCGGACTTGGCTCACGAGGTCCTGGACTCCGATCTTGATACCGAGCTGGAGTACGTTCCGATCATGACGATTGACCAGATCCGCTGCGCTTTTAGGGACACCGTACTCGGACTCTTGTACTTGCATTATCAGGGCATCATCCATCGCGATATCAAGCCACCCAATCTTCTCGCCTCTCACGACAACCGCGTGAAGATCTCTGATTTTGGTGTCTCATACCTTGGCCGACCTGTGCACAATGGCGAGGGCGAGGATGTCAGCGAGGCAGAGGCCACAGACCTGGACGACGAAGCGAAAGAGCTAGCCAAGACTGTAGGCACGCCTGCATTCTACGCGCCTGAGCTCTGCTCAACCGACCCTTTGGATGAGCCGCTGCCCGTGACCAAAGCCATCGACATCTGGGCTCTGGGTATCACGCTGTTCTGTATGCTCTTCGCTCGTACTCCTTTTGTCGATAGTGAGTACGTTGTGATGAGAAGCATTGCAGAGGAGGAAGTGTATATTCCGGCCCAGCGACTTCTCCCAGTGGATAGCAAGCCCAAGTCTCGGCCATCATCGCACGGAAGGGGCTACTCGCCTCAATGGAATCGCAAACGCGACGAGCTAGAATTCGTCTATGAGGATCTGGGCGAGGACCTGCTAGATTTGTTACACAGGCTGCTCATCAAGGATCCACGCAAGCGCATCACGCTGGATGAAATTCGCTACCATCCTTGGGTGATTGCGGACATCCACAACAAACCCAGATGGTTCGAGGAGTCTGACCCTGCACACCAACTGGGACACAGGAAGATCGAGATCACGAACGAAGAACTCAAGACGGCCGTCGTGCCTCTCAACTTGTTGGATCGCGCCAAATCGGCGGTGACGAAGATTGGAACAACAATTGCGGACACCATTACAGGAAGGACAAGAGCGCGTGGCCAATCGAATGCTGGCTCGCCAGTGCCCTCTGCACACTCATCTAGTAGTACCATCAGCCAGGACGCTCGGCGGCAAAGTCTTCGTGGCCATGAAGACCTTCTCTCGGCCTTGAAGGCATCGCAACACGGCGAGCATCCACTGTCTAAGAGTGTGGCTGCCAGCCCGGAGCAACAGAAGCACGATAAGATCATTCCACGGCTGAATGGTAGCAGTGACGCGAGCAATCGCCTCACTCGGACGACTTCTCGTCCAAGTCCGCCGCACCGTGCCATGACTGTAGCATCTGCTGCAGATTCCATGCGCACGGTGACGGAGTCCAGCTATCGCAGAGGAATCAAAGAAGAATCGCGACCGCCTTCGCCTGGTCTACCTGGAACGCCAACCGCACTCGCGACACCTGGCGGCAGTCACTTGGGCGGCCTTCTCGGAGGCACTGCGCGCATCATAGAGCGTGTCCGTGCGAAAAGTAGACAGAGGTCATTGAACCGGCGAGGCATCTCCAGTGAGCGTGGCTCTGATCGAGGGTCGGTGCAAGGCTCCGACCCGCACGCCGAAGCAAGTGTGGCTGTGAGTGGTGCTACAGCATCAGGTCACGTACAGCAGCCCGAATCTCTTCGCGGCGAATCCACCCCTCAATCAAGCGCACACAACAGCCCCGCATCTTCGCGCCCTCAGTCAGTGACTTCGGACCACCAACACTTGCAGCCAGGAACTGGAATACTGTCTCGCTTGAGCTCTAGTAGTTCTATCGCCTCGGCTGGACGGCTTGAGGCCTATCGTAATATCTCACGGCCTGCATCGGGCAATCGGCAAGCGATCGAGTCTACGCCAGAAGAGTGGCAACGTGCACATCAGGAACACATTAGGAAGCGAATCAACGAGCACAATGAGCAACAACAAGCCGACAGGTCGGATATCACTGCACCGGGCAGGAGAAGCTCACCAAGCCCTTTCGATGGCAGGACATGTCCAACAAGTCCAGATGACCACAATCGAACACGACAAAACTCCCAAGTGCCATCACTTACCGAATTATCCACGCCTGCAACACCTGATGAATCCGCAAGTCCTCATGGAGCTACCAGTCAGCTGCCTCCCGCTCTTATGTCCAGCTCTTCTGATCTTGGCTCGGCAGTCTCGATGTCGATTAGTAATCCATCGATTCCTTCGGTCTTGTCTGAAGCTTCATCTGTCGAGCCCGGAGAGCCAGACGTCGATACAGACCGGAAGGAGTCGTCAGATGATACTCTGAATCCCAACCAGCAAGATATACCCAACGGAGATCGCTACGATGAAGGCTATACTCCAGATGAGGAGGCGACTACCACCAGTGACGGCGAGGATGAATTTGACTCAGACTCTGATAGTGACGGAGGCCTTGTCATGTCTCGTCGGAAGTCGCCCGCAAAGGCTCTGCCGATTCAGAAGGAACGACGTGGCACTGGCCATTCTCATCGCTCGAGGAAGTCCTCCCGAAGTGGTTCTAATAACACCATGAAGAAGGTCAAAACGCGCGACAGCAGTGACGAGCAAAGTCGACGATCGCTCGACATTAAAGAGGAGTGATGCTCGAATCAGCAGCATCTCTCAATTACAACCTTTTAACTACATGACCTTTCGATCACGACTTTATGACATGAAGGCTGGCCGAGCATATGTCAAGAATGAAAAAACATATGACGGCACACATACCAAAACAAACGACCTTCCCATCGAGAGTCACTGCACTCATACTCTGCTCTACTTCGCTTCTTGTTTATGGTTGCGATACCCCCTTGGAAGCATTTTGGCATTTTGGAATGAGCGTTAACGCACACAGCATACTTTTCGGATGCATCGTCCGGAGGCAGAGAGCAGAACATGTATCTTGCATAGGCTCGCATTCTACTGCTTTCGTGTGCTTCTGAATTTTGGAGTTCTGAGCGTTTGTCTTTGCTGCTGCTGCATACTGATAGAAGTATTGAGAGGGAAGAGGCAAGGGGGAAGGGCTCGAGGCTGGGAATTGGCATGACTGGACAATTTCCGCCGAACTTTTCAAGAGCTGCATATTTCTGCATTTTGGGGAGAAGAGAAAATGAAAATCCCGTGGAGGACGGGCAAAAAATCTGGGAGGTTCGCCATTGTATGTGTACGGAAGGAAGATGGATACCCGATCGATACCCACCACGCTCTTCTCAACTCAAATCTTTCATCTACGATTCTCATGTGGCAACAAAGTATATTACGATTGAGATTGTGGACGCTCTCGAGCGATGGTCAAGCGCACCAATGTATGAAATTGACGGATTGTATAGCATACGGACGGGTCGCGCCTGGTTTTGCGGAATGATTTCGGAGTCCAACTCATCTGCATGGGTACTTGAGCTTGACTGTGTATGAAATGTTGCTGCTGTGTATAGAAGACCAGGAGAAAGCGCCGTTTCTGGAGAAGAGGCGAAGACTTTGAGTTCGACGTCGATAATGATCCGAAGTTTCATCCTCTCCTGCTTTCTTCCTACACGCGGGATGTAGTTGACTTTTGGCATCGTGCGCAGAGAACGGACTTGCAGCATTTTTTTGGGGTGGCTGTTGTGTATGTATAAATATCAATGAGAGTTTATGGTGAGAATTACATCTTCCATTCAACGTGTCTTATTCTGTCGGATTTGTGATTATTCACTTGGAAGCCCATTAGCGAAATGGTGCAAATTGCCGAAACGTCGAGTATGCGTGAGGACGAACACCTTAGAACCACGGCGCTGTGGGATCGATCTCAAAGCTCTTGAAATTTGGCGCTCTCTCTCTTTCTTTCTCTATGTACAGTTCAATCCATGCCTACACGCCACTTAAGTTCCTTCCCTTACACACAAATCATCGCTTGCGATGGAAACATGTTGCAAACTCAGCTGACTTCACGAGTCTCAGCCCACGCCAAAAGCACAGGACGCGTAATTTCCTCATTCGAGTTTCTACTGCTGCTGCTGCATCTCCTGAAGAGTCGCCGGATTCTGCAAGCCTAACCTCCTCCTCGCGGAAAGATAATACTCATAAATTCTCAACTTCAGTACAACCTTCGTATACTCCAGAAGTCCGAATGATAAAGTGAAAAAATTCTTTGGCCAGAATACACTTCCCGAAATACTCTCTTTCTGTTCTTCCCACACGCATCGCGCAGCATATCGGGCAAGAATCATGAACGAACGCATAGGTCCTTGCGTTGTATGAAGATTCTCATCGAGGCTCCGGGTCAAGTCATTGGTTTTCAAAATGAGAAGGATGACCCTCGGCACACGACCTAGAAGTCCCACGATTTTCTCAACCAGGTCCTGGCCCATTTGCTCGGACAGACTACGTTTTTCTTCATCGTTGCGATGTTGTGCTGCGACGCCTCGCTCTACGACGCCGTAGTCGCGTCCTGTGACGGCCGAGGCGAAGATGGGGAAGTCTTCATCACCTATCCCGGCGATTTCGTAGGCGTATTTTCGCATCCGAGGGATGTCGGTGTCGAGCACGGCGAGCCACATGTGTGCGTAGGCTTTGCGGAGATGGTCTGGAATATCTCGGTAGAGGCCGTGGTCATATAGGATTACATCGAAGTTTCGAGGTTTGCGTTTGTTGGGATTGAGGCGAATGGCCATGTTACCACCGTGAGGGTCACAGTGTAAGGGAGCGTTCTTGCCGAAGATCATTTCGTTGAAGATGTTGGCTAAAGCGGCGGAGACTTCGTCGCGGCTAATTCCGTTGGCATCGAGGAATTCGAGATCATCGGGTCGATGGCCTGTGATATACTCCATGACTAGGATCCTTCGTTCTGCAGAGTATACTTCTGGTATGATCAAAGGCGTCCCTTTGATCTTTGAGAAGTAATCTTTCATCTTCTTGGCGTTCTTTCCTTCTTGTCGGAAATCTAGCTCTTGCGGTAACGATACTTCCATTTCGTCGCTGAGCCATGTCAGGTCGTAGTTTGGGAACCAATATCGTAATGTCCGGAAAGTGTTGGTAGTCAACCACATATCCAGTGCTGCCCATTCGTCAAGTCCGGGGTGCTGCACCTTGACCGCTACCTTCTCCCCGTTCTCCTTCAGCCGCGCTATGTGTACCTGTGCCAGTGACGCTGCTCCTATGGGCTCGGCCGCAAACTCTGAGAAGTAGTCTTCTAGTCTCTTGCCCGTGTCATGGTATACCATCTCTTCAATGCTGCCGTAACTCGATACCGGACATTTGTCCTGCAGGGGTATGAAGGTATCACACCACTCGCTGGGTAGCAAATAATTCAGCGACGTGAGATGCTGTCCGAGCTTGATGAATATCGATCCATTCTGCTCCATCGCCCGCAGTGTCCGCAGTGCACACCTCTTGTGGCATGCCGCAATGTCCTTTTGAAACTCTGGATTGTCCCAGTCCTCACGCTTCAATATCTTCCGGTAGTCCTGAATGTTGAGAAACAGGCAAACCGCTACTCTCCCGGTTCTTTGCGCTCCGATGTACACGTGCCGTGCTTGTTCACTGAAGGCCAATGCCGCACACCCCGTCAAAAATATAATTGTTGCAGCGATGGCTACTCGACGCCTCTCCCTTGGGTCCTGGATGCGGTCCTGTATTCGGTCGCGCCATGCTCGTTTGCCAGCCTGTGAAGCTTCAGATTGGGTGGAAGAGAATCGTACGCCTCTCGATCGCGTGATCTCTTGCCGTATACTCGACACGATTTGTCGTTGGGGTCGAGATCGGGAGAGGAGACATTGCCGACATGTCCAGCTCGTGGGCTGCCGAGAAAGCGTCTGGACCGCCGATCGCAGCGGCGATGCTATGGACCTCATCGCTCCATTCGGCTGAGCAGGAATATGCCTGTGGCCCGGCAATGGCACGCTGCGCAGGATTTTCTGGTGTTCCTCGTGTCAACGACAAAAGGATTGGGAAGTTTGGGGCTGACCGATGACGCTCGAGCATCGGAAGTCGTGCGCCGATGAGCCGAGTGGCCGAACAACCACACCTCTGACTCTCCGCTGCTCGCGAGAGCCTCCTCTGCGGTCATCGCTCTGAGACCTGAGTCGCTACGAACCATCCGCCTTTCCACGCGACGCACGCATCGGACTCCAACAAGCCACTTTCTGCTAACCTCCTTGTGCCTAGCCTTTTTGAGCTTTGCACGCCAGGCACAATCGGTTACATGCAGCCCTCGCGTGTCGCTGGAAACATCATCATGGGCGATCGTTGGAGGCCGAGGCTGAGGTCGTGTCGTCGAAGGAGTCAAAGTCGACATCATCGGGAGAAATGTCCCTCAGTCTCTCCTGAGAAGCCTTGAGCCGATCTGTCTTCGAGAGTCGTCTCCGCTCTGCTCTGCTTCGAGCTTGATCACAGACTGCGACTGCCTGCCAAGCCCATTGGCATTACCACCACAACCAGAGCCAGAGCCAGAGCTGCGATGCCGTTGCAATGACCACGGCGAATGTCAGACAACGTGACCCGCTATGCAACCAGCATTTGTGCTCTCGCGGAGCGGCGGTGTGCTGTACGGCTGTCCGCGCCGGCAGACCCTGAATTGCAGCCCTTCAGCCTATCGTACTTCGCTGCTTGCTGACGTGGACAGAGTGGGAGAATAGTGTCTCTGGTCGCAATGCGGTTAGGTCTCAATGGAGCGATTGTCTCATTGATCAGTATGTGTGGAGGCCTTGACACGTCCCACTGAACAGTATAATCTGTCAAGACGAGCCGCAATGTTGTCGATGACACCAGAACACATACTCACTTCGATTCTACGTAGATCTAGCAACTCGCGACTCGCTGGCTTCACAGCCATGAGTTGCGAAACAATTCTGGAACATCGTACCTGGCAGCCTACCTCCTAGTGCCTCGCCGCGCAGCTCGATAGGGTCCTCCATTGCTTTTTCGCTGACATCTTGGTGCTATTCATGATACTTTCTCATTCGCCGATAACGAACAAGGCGGAACCTGGCGCGGGATGGGCCACCTAGCGGGTGCTTGTCCTATCGACCCTGGACGTCGATCACTTTGTTACCAGTCGTGGAACATCCTTTGGGTCGCAGCCATTCCATCATGGCTCGGCACTTGGCTGTGGTCTTAAAGAGTGTGCTTCCTGCACCTATCCGAGTAGAGTTTCTGGCATTCTCACTTTTGCATACGCCTAGAAGTTAAAGATCTTGATTTACTCGATCTAAGAAACAGCCAAGCACTCCGGAGACCGGGAAATTGCAATCCCAAGGGCACAAAAGACGTCGTCCTCCCGCTCCGCCACAACTCTCGATTAGATAAAGGATCAAAAAGCACTTCTTCAAGCAACACTCGACTGTCAAGCATACATCATGTCTATGCACGAAAGACACCTCGCAACGCAAGAGGTCCTCGACGCCAAAACGTTTGAACAAGCCCTGAACGACTTCCGACCTCACGCTGCCGAGCGCAACGACAGCTTCCAGACAAAGGAGAACACCCGAAGGAACTCCATGCAACACGGCGCCAACCTACCTCCCTCCCATATTCATTCTCCACTACTGCTCGTAGACGTTCCTCTCGAGCCTTGTCAACGCTGTTCAGGAGAAGGGAACGTGAACAAGCCCTGTGGTTTCTGCAAAGCAACAGGCAAAGCATCAAAGACTATATCTTGCGTCGACTGTCATGCAGAGAAGAACGGTTGCGGAAACATGAACTGTAAGCCCCCTGCAGTTACCATCTCGGATTGCAATATGCTAACTTCGATGACAAGGCGACACATGTCTCGGCGTTGGCCGTATAGTGCAAGAGCGCAGTTGTATGAGCTGCGAAGGCAGTGGAAGTGCCCTCAAGCTGACCTGCGGCGACTGCGGAGGTAGTGGAAGCTCCTCTCCAACCAGCAGTAGGAGTAGCTCTGAAGTCAGCTGTCACGCAATCCCGGAGTGACGATCACGCTCGGAATCCACCCCATATCACGGCGTTACGATTTCTCATTGTTGAGCGGATTCAGCGTGTTCGGAGTGATGTTTTTCACTGCTGGCGTTTGTTGCAACATAGTATACCCTGCCGGCCTCGTTGCCAGAAACAAAAACACGAAGGAGGATCTGGGAAGAGTGATTTGATCACAACTTCTCTCACGACACCAGAAGACCCAACAACAGAATAGTTCTACAACAAATGACAGAAATGAACCAGCACCTTCTCTGACCTATCTTGCAATCGATTTCACTTTGCCATCATTTGTCATCGATCCCATCGAAGAATTTCCACAGCATCAGAGCACACGCAAGCCAAGAAACCTCATGCATCCTCGTCACACACTCGGTCGTTGCTCACCCTCATCGGGTGCTTGGCATTCGCCATGACCGTACATGCTCGGACCTCAATCCAACCTTCTGACATGCAATAATGATCGAAACAAGACCTTATCAGCCTCACCGCGCCGCAAAACCTCCGCAACAACCGCAGCATATGCGCTGTCCAATCCCACTTTCAAGGCTTCACTTTTGCGTCAGAGAAAGTGGCTTTGATGCCCGCCAAGCGGGTGCTGTGCTGTTCTATATCTTGGCAAGACACAGAACGTGAAGTCTGGTATAAGGAATGATGCCGGTAAGGATTTAAAAGTTTAGAAGGAAGCTTTTGTGGCTGCCTTCTGCAATGATCGCAATTGGCAATCGCTGTTGCTGGGAAGGGGAAGTTGGAAGAGAGTGCATGTGGCTTGGTGGTCGATATGCAACAAGATCCTGCGGAGAACATCGGGCGGAGAATGGTCTGTCTCAGACAATCCGGTTTCGGCCGCACCGGATTGTGGGGATATCAAATGGGCTCGACGGAGCTGGCACTGGTGACAGGAAGTGGGTATCATTGTCTTTTCTCATTTTGGAGGCATTTGAGCCACGTCGGGAAGTCTTTCGTTAATGCATGTTCTTCGTAGTCTCGTCTTCCTCCCTCCAAACTCCAACGCTAATCTTATCGATCAAACTTCCCTAAAAGCAGTAGAGGAAGTAGCACCACGGACGGTGGAGGAGAACCTTGCCACATCTCTCCCTGTTCAGTGCATCAGTAGGCCGTGAGGTAAAGTATGCCCAACAGTCGAGATGGAACTCACATGTCGAAGCCTTGGGAGCGGACCTTCTTCACAAATTCGCGATAGTTCGGACACTCCGAGGCGTGTAGGCACACGCAGGCGTTACCAGTGCACTGAGTGCAACGCCAAAATTTGTAAGAGCCGTAGACAACGTATGCAATGACTGCAAAGTAGAAGGCGAAGATCAGGAGCAGGAGCAAATCCTTTGGTTCACCCTGGAAGCCCCAAGCCAAGTACTAAGGAGCCGGGTTGTCCTTGACGACCTGACGGATACGCTTCTCGTACGCAGCACGATCCTTCTTGAACAGGTTGTACGCATCTGCCTGAGCTGGCGAGTCAGGATTGACTTCGTCGAGCAGCATTTGAATGCCAAGAAGGATCTCCTTGATTGTAATGGCGGGCTTCCAGCCTTCTTCTTCGTTCAGGATCGACAAGCAGACGGTGCCGGAGGGGTAGACGTTGGGGTGGAAGAGCGGCGGTACGAACTTGCACTTCGGTGGCTTGGTGGGATACTCTGTTCGTGCACGTGTCAGCTTCCGTGTGTCGAGATGCTCTTGGTCTAGCATTCGAGCCGGTGGTGGCTTGATGTGCCGATACTGCTCGCACGCGGCCTCGTTGTACATACCATCGGGAAAGAGCATCTCGAGCTTGAACAAACCACCCTCCCAGATCGTCTTGTCCTTGCCGGGTATCGCACAGTCCCATCTCTTGAGGTCGAGGGCTGGGCCGTTCTTCATCGGGCGGGCGACGAAGCCGAAGGGGTGATCTCTGCGCCATTGCTTGCTGCCACCTGTTAGTAGCTGCGGCGAGATAGAACTGGCTCGGGTCATCCTACCGCTCTTCTTGCAGACGCGCGATGGTGAGCGACATGATTGTGGTGTGTGCGTCTGTGCTTGTTCGTGGTTGTTTCGGGCGAGAAAGGTGGGAAGCTGCAGCGTGAAGTTTGTCGGGTATCCTCGAGGATCGGAGGGCAACACAGCTTCTTATGTACTCCGCGCGACCAAGGCAACAGCGCGCCTCGCGACCGCACACGCCAAAGTGAAGCACAGAAGTGAAGTTGGCAGGTGGTAGCACAGAACGCGACTTCACTTTCACGAAGACGCCGCACAGGCGCTTTCCGGCGAGAACCATGCACGCCAAGGGCAAGCGCGATTCAAGCAAGGAAGGTGGGGCCAAACCTTACCGAGGCAGGCATGTGCAATTCACGATCTTGTTGTGATTTCGGAACCAACACAGACACGAAATAGTCATCTATACCACTTGAGAAGACTCATTCAGCAGCATTAGCCAACAAGCAGTGTTGTTGTCGAGCGACAGCGTCAGCGAAACGGTTCTGGCGACACGAGGGGACCCCGCTGTACGACTTCACATCACGAGTCACGACGCACCATGGCCGAGAAACAACCAGTACCACCGGCGGCGACAGCACCTGATCCAGACGAGGATGACTTGGACGACCTGGACGATGTGCTTGACAGCTTCCAAAATGCGAAGGTCTCCGAGCCCGCGAAGGCCGCTCCAGCAACAGCACCAGCCGCCTCTACATCCACGCCAGCACCCTCAGGGCCAGGCCGACCACCTGTAGTCAGTCACGATGCAGGCTCCGAGGCAGACTTTGCAGCACAGCTGGAAGCTGGCATGAAAGGTCTCATAGGAGAGCTGGACTCGAATCCTGAAATGCAGGCCGAATTTGAGAAGATGATGCAGGAGCTCATAGCAGCCGGAGCCGCAGGGTCAGATGCACAAGCTGGAGAGCATCTACGAGAGGCCGCGAAAGTAGTCTCGCCCGAACAAAGCAAAGCGAAGCCAGCAACAGCAGGAGCAGGGGCAGGAGCATCTTCATCAGCTGCGCCCAAGAGAGCCGGTGGCAAGCAGGACAACTTCCAAGACAGCATTCGCAAAACGATGGAGCGAATGCAGGCTTCCGACAGCACAGCTAAACAATCCACATCGCAAAATATGTCTGAAGAAGACCTGCTGGCGCAAATGATGCGTGAGTTGACAGAGGGCGGGGAAGGAGGCGAAGAAGGGTTCAACAGCATGCTCATGAACATGATGGCACATTTGACGAATAAGGAAATTCTTTACGATCCAATGAAAGAATTGCATGATAAGTATCCGGAGTACTTGGAGAAGAACAAGGACAAGATTTCAAAGGAGGATTTGACGAGGTATCAAACACAGCAGACGCTCGTCAAGGAGATTGTGGAGAGGTTTGAGAGGAAGGAGTATAGCGATAACAACGAGGACGACCGAGAGTATATCGTGGAGCGGATGCAGAAGGTACGTACCTCCTCGGTCCTCGAAGTGCATCGCACGGCCATGAATACACGACTAATTTTTGATCACAGATGCAAGCGGAGGGCTCGCCACCTACAGATCTCGTTGGAGACATGTCTGCCGCGCAAGAAGCCTTGGGAGATCTGGAAGGCGGGTGTCCCACCCAATAACCATTCTTCTTATTGGCATTCGTGATACCCTTCCATCAAACAAATCTGTACTTGGACCTAGCCGCCATCTTTGCAGCATTCTGTACACAGTTCCCAGTCGATCATGATTCGCCACCAACGCCTCGCTAAAAGTATTCAAAGCCATACAGAGAGCATTCCGTGCTCATGACATGTCCATCTCGTCTTCTCCGCCATCATGTTGCTGCTGTTGCATATCCGGCATCGCCTGTGACGACAACATCGCACTCCCCGTGACATTGTGTCCCATGCCTTCTTGGTTCTGCTGGCTTAACAACATCTCCTCAAACAGCTCGTCGTAATCCGCATCGTCCGACCACAAGCTCGTCTCGTCTCCACCGCCATCCTCCTCCATCGCATCGTCGTCTCTCGGCATGATCTCCAACAGAGCCTCCAATTCTCTCCCCTCATCCCTCACGAACTCTTCGACCTCATCTTCTTCTCCTATCCCCGAGCTTCCCCACGCCGAAGCACCCATTTGACTCGTGACAGGAAGATCATACTCCTCATCTTCGTATGCCTCCTCTTCCTCTTCAAGAATTCCCTCACCCCAAGCCGCCTTCTCCGCTTCCCTCGCGCGATCAGCTTCCCACGCACGCTGTCGCGATAAGAAATCCAATCGCATGAGATCTTCTCCTCGGGACTCGAAGCGTTTGTCGTCGCGTTGCGCTGAGATTTTGCGAAGGTAATTGTTCCTACGCGCGGTCTGAAGAGTTGAAGAGGACGATGCTTGTTGAAGTGGATTACGTTTGATAGAGCGTTGAGAGAAAGGGAGTTTCGAGGTTGTTGGTGGCGTGGTTATGCTAGCGGAGAAGTTCGTGGGTTGAGGTTTTGAGGCTTCGGAGCGCGGGACGGAAGATAGGAAAGAAGGCGATGAAGGTGCGGCATTGTTCTCGGAATAGCGCGACGCTTTCTTGGACGAGGAGGAGTTGGTGTGCTTCGCGTCGGGTTCGTGAGCGTTCATGTAGTTGCTGTGGCGCGGACGCGTGCCATAGATGTTCGTGCTGAGAGGCGCAAGCGGAGATGAGACTGGCGGCGCGTACGTGTAGTCAGACGGCGACGAGGGCACGAAGGCAAGCATTGTCGTTGTCGTTGTTGATGATCTGGAAGCGTGTTCTGGAGGAGAACGTGTCTCGATTTAGGGAATTGAGGGATCCGATGACATCGCGTGTCGCGGCACGAACGCGTCAGATCGGGGATCTTCGGCCCGCCCGTATCGTGCTTGGCAGTTCACGACTTCAGCAAAGTAGAAACAAAGCCATCGGGCATGCGAGAAGGGTATTTGATTGTCGCGGTTCTCGAATGAAATGGGATACTAGTCTCAGCTGCTTCTCAATTTGTTGGCGTCCCAACTATGGATCGCAAACAGTTCAGCTGAACTAGCAGCTCAGTCGCCTATCATTCTCTGAGAAACCATCTGCAAACAGCAGAATCTCACCCTCTCACAATCCTCCGTCAAGCTCCTGAAGGCATACACACGCAGAAAATGCTTCTCCTGTACAAAGGTCTAATATAATGCGCGTACAACGATTAATCGTCTCTGGGTATCACTTCATTAGCAAGCAGCTTCTTAAGCATCGCCTCGTTTTGTTCTTGTATCTCATCACAATGTCGATCCGCATTCGGACCCGACTCGATCTTTCGCTTTCGAATAGGTTTTGCAGGATTTCCAGCAACGACAGTATATGGCTTGACGTCCTGCAGAGAGACATGATTAGCTGCGCATCGGGATTACTCGTGGTGTTGCCTATGCTTACCCTCGTCACCACCGATCCAGCACCGACGACGGCACCTTTGCCTATCGTCCTAAAAGGTAAAATGATACAGTCCGCGTGAATGACCACATCCTCTTCGACTCTGATGGGACCAGCCTGGAATTCGCCTCGGCTGCCCTTTCTCTGCTGTGCATCTACGCTCGTGGTAAGGCAGTAGAACTTGACATTAGGTCCGACAATCGTTCGGTCGCCAATATAGATTATGCTCGCATCCTGCATTGTGCAGTTCTGTTGGATAAGAACTTCTCTGCCCAGATGAATGTTGTAACCGAATTCACAGTTGAAAGGGGTTTCCACCAACGAGTGCGAGCCAACGCTGCCCTTTGGCCCATGTTCCCATGCTCTCGAATTTCGCATTTCCCAAGCTCGTTCTTTAGGCTCGTAAATTGCGAGGAAGTTTCTCTCTTGCTCGGCGTCCGAGGAGGGGTTGACGGCTTTGCAGGACTCGTTGTATGCCTCGACCGCTTTTCGGCACGAGTTGCGCTCACTGCGTAGAGCAGGGTCGTCGAAATGCGGATAGCGCTCGCCTCGGAGCATTTTGTCTCGTGCTGTCGCGTGGACAGCCGAACTCTGTAAATAAGAAGGCAACCCAGTCCTATGTGACCCACTTCCGGAAGATATCACACTTGCGCGCGAGCTGATTACAGTCGGTGGGTTCGGTGGGTGGGGAGGATAGACGTGCGGATGCTGCGCCTGCCACGGATCAACGTGTGGCGCATGAGGATAGTTGCGGTAGGGCGGTGGCGGAGGTGGTGGTGCAGCGTAACTATTGCCAAAGACAGGCGCAGGCGGTGGAGGCAATGGCTCAGGAGGTGGATAGTGTGACGGAGCAGGGGGCAATTCGCGTCGCTCACTATGCTGCGATGGGTGTCTGTGATGCCAGACTTCGGGATTCAACGGCGGACGAGGGTCGATCGGTACATGCGGTCCAGCGTAGCGTGATGGACTGGGATCGAGGGGTTTAGGCTGGGGCAAAGCGTATCGATCTGCACTCGCTGGTACGGGTTGCGGATGATGCGGACCCTCTCCATAAAGGCCTCGATCGAATCCATATGGTTGACCACTGACCGGCGTATAGATTTCGTGGTGCTTTGATTGAAGAGGCGCTTGAGCATTTCTTCCCGTAAGTGGTTTTAGTCCCCCCGCAGGTTTTGGGCCGTAACCCGCACACGGGAACCCTCCACGCAAACAGTTCTGACAATGGGGTCGGTTTTCGTCACACTTCTTCTTTCTCGAGCGGCATGTATGACACCCGGTCTTAGTTCGGTTACTAAAGTTCCTCTTCCGCTTAGTCTTATCTTCCGAGGCTAGAGGCTGATCCGGGGAGAAAGGATGCGATTGCTGTTGCGCCAGATTCTCTCCTTGCGGAGACTCCCCCTCAGGCCGCGCTTGAGCTTCGGCAGCGAAATGTTGTTGCACTTGAGCTCTCAGTTCAGCTTCCACTTCTGGGCGTGGGGCAGGAGGCGGGGCGCTGACTCCAGCTCGTTCTTCTGGAGTGGGTAATCGCGGTTGTTCAGTAGGGTCTTCAAGCCCCTCATGACCATCGCGGCTGGGACGAGATTCAGACGCTTGCTCGTGTTCGGTGCTGCCGTTGACCATGCGCCGCTTCGGTGACTTTGAGCCTTCTCTGACCACGCGCTCGCCCCTTTGTGAATCACGATGGTCTTCCGCAGGTGAGTCCGCTCGTTTGCGTTTGTTCGCTGAGACGTCTTCAATCGAAGCGCGTGGTGTATCTTCTTGGGCCTGGACCATCGCCGGTGGTTCTGTGGGCCTCCAGCTGTGCGACTGGTACGCGCTTGTGATCGGGTTGTAGTCGCCACCAGCATGGCTTCGGTGCTCCACGGGTGGAAGTGTGATGGGTCTGGGCCCAAGGCCGTCAGGTCGGAACGACGACGATGGATGGGGTTCGCCGTTATTTACGGCAGTGAAACCTTTGGCTGGTGCATTGTCGACCGCTGGTGGCAGCCCATTTGGTCGATGCTCAATCACGGGCGGCCGGTTGAGGATACCGACGTCGTCCCGCATAGCAGTACTTGCCTGCGTGGCCAATGATTACTTGTTCGGGCCGCAACAACTGGAAGCAAGTCATGTAGCATGGAGCAGCGGTGTGGTGATGTGCTTGTGCAGGAAGTGAGTCGACCGTCGTCAGCGCGGGTTCGGGCCTTGCCAATCGAAAAGCACCACCGGTTACGAGACCCAACGCTTGATGGTTCCACGAGGAAGCGCGAATGCGCTTAACATCGGCTAATATGTTCGGGTTGCTGAGGATATGCGCAGCTCAATGCCCACTGCGGAAGATGGAGTGGGTCAATGCAGCGGATGGGATTGAATGCCGGATCTCGTCGAAGAATGCCAAAGATCGGCCCGCGCTTCCTCGCTGCCCAGGCGATCTGTGTTTCCTGCGGGCAGTCCGTGTGATGCAAGGAGCGGGCGCTGGATATGTTGTGGTGGACAGAAACAGACGAAAAGATGAGGAGAAAGTGGGCGGGCAGAGATGGTGCGTGTTCCGCTTGCGCGCAGGGCGGCTAGGTCTAGCGTGCTCCCAGCGCCTAGTTTGAGTTCACGAAGAGGGCCGTCGCGCATGTCGAGTTCCACCCGCGCGCCGTCCTGGCTGCCAGTGGCAGGCCACGGGCGGCGCTGCTGGCGCGAGTG